TTAAGGCATCCATACAAATAGTCACACAAAAACGACTTTGTCAAAATAAAAAAAATGAAAAACTGCTTCAAGCAAATAACAAAAACAAAAAAAGCATTCATGTAAGGAAATTAGCTCTGTGCTTGCATTTGAAAACGGGAAGCACTCATAAACATCCCGGTATATCAAAAGAGCAAGATTCTCCAACAATCAACGAGATGGATGACCACCATAAGACTCTGCCAGAAGAGCATCTCTCACAACATCTGGCGCATGAGCTAGAGTAGTAAGCCGCAACCACTATCAATTCTATAAAGTGGACTGTATCAACCAGATGAGGAGTTCATACCCATCAACTTGCGCACGAAGTGCGCCTGATCTGCACACGAACCAGACCAATAAGTCACAGTCAGTCCAACACAGAGGACCATACCAGCCTGATGGGGGGTTTATACTCATCCAGTCCTACGCACAGTGGGCTGCAACTACCAGCCTGATGGGAGGTTTATACTCATCCAGTCCTACGCACAGTGGGCTGCAACTACTAGCCTGATGGGAGGTTTATACTCATCCAGTCCTATGCACAGTGGGCTGTAACTACCAGCCTGATGGGGGGTTTATACTCATCAACCGAAGGATCGGCTACCGCAAGAAGGAGCATCCTAGAGGCGCACAACACATTTTTTTCCCCAGAGGATCAACCACCACAAGACAGAGCATCCGAAGGACAACCGGGCAAGAGGGTTAACTCCTTCACCCTCCAGCCGATCTTCTTGGCGTAACAGGCCAACAGTCGGCTAGTCAAGTGAAGGGGGGGCAACTGTAGACCTCAAATCTTGCCCGACCTCAAAATAAAGAGCAGAAGACCTCCAAATTGAAGATGGGCAAGGCCTAAAAAGCCACTAGGAGAGACTATTAGGCCCCATATTAGACTAGGAAGGTTTTTCTGTACAAAAAAATAAGGATTCCACCTTAAGGGTCAAGACCGTTGTCTCGCCCTTCGGGACCGCCGTCTCGCTAAGTGGCAAAGTCGAGACCGCTGTCTCGTTTGGCGAGACGGCCGTCTCACCACTTGCCATTAGCGAGACCGCCTTTCCGCTTGGCGAGACGACCCTCTCGTCATTTGGCAAGTCGATACCACCGTCTCGATTGTTGAGACGACGGTCTCGCCATTTGTCAAAGTCGAGACTGTCGTCCCAAATGGCGAAACGGTCATTTCGACCTTGTCAGGCGAGACGACGGTCTCTACCTAACTGGTGCGAATCCCTATAAAAGGGGAGCGCTCCCCCCTCCATTTCACACAACTCTTCCACTTCTCCTTCTACCATTTCTTAGAAATCTTCGCTTAGAGCCTCTCCGAAGCATTTTCGGAGTTTTCTGAGTGTCTTTAAGAGAGTTTTTATAGCGTTTCAAGAGAGAATTTGACGTTGTAAGAGCGAGGGGCTTCCAAAACGCACCCTACCTTTTAAAGAATTAATCAAAACTTGCTCTAGAGGTTTCTTTACTCTCTCTCTTTTACCGCTTTATCATTTATATATGCATTAATTAGGGTCATGTAGTCGTCACACTTTAATTCTGCAAATAAAAGGGTAAAAGCGTCATTATTAATTTATTTACGAAATAACCGGCCTATCATAGGGAACCTGGAAGGGGCATCATAGGGAAACTAATACCTTCCCTAGACGTAACTAACTCTCTTACCCAACTCTGATTATAATGGAAAAAGTTAGTTTTTCTTAAAAAACCAACGCCTTCTTTTCCTTTTTCGGTGTTTCCGGTAAAAACATCGATGGCGACTCCAGAATAACCCCTTCGGAAAACTTGCTTTTAGGTCCAACCCGGTTATCGAACATCCTAATAGCTCTCTTTCAAAAACCTAGCCACCTAGGTCCAGCCCGATTATCGGACAACCTAGAGGCGTTGTAACCTCACCCACAAAACGCGAAAATGGGAAGTCAGAACCATCACGTCGCTCCGACCGCCTCTTTTGACAGCGACGACAATCTTATATTTGATATCCATCACTATATTAAACACATTATCAAACACATTTTTCTCAATATGCATGACATCAAGATTATGCCTTAACATGTTGGAATTCCAATATGGTAACTCCCGAAAAATGCTTTGTTTTATCTAATTATGATATACACCACAACCATAACATGTAAATTGTACTTCCTTAGTTACTTTTGGAAAATAAGCAACTTGCTCCCACACATCATCCCCAGAAAATATCAATGGAGGTTGAGAATCTTCAATTCGATTCTTTAAAAATGCATTCTTATTTCTTCGATATGCATGATTCATAGGCAAAAATTGATGATAACAATCAAACCAAGAAAACTTACAACCACTATGTAACCAAAATCTCTTTGAATTATTCATACAATATGGGCAAGCTAAACTTCCAACTGTACTCCAACCAGACAACATACCATATGCAAGAAAATCATTAACAATCCACATCAATGCAGTTTTCATCATAAAATTTTGTTTTTTGGAAATGTCATATGTCAACACAACTTCATTCCACAATATTTTTAACTTTTCTATCAAAGGTTGCAAATATACATCTATTTTTTCCTTTGGATTTTTTGGCCAAAGAATAATGAAAGTTAAAAACATATAGGGGGTAGTCATGCACAATTGTGGTGGTAAATTGTAAGGAGTTACAATCACTGACCAACAAGAATATGGTTTTCCTAATTGACTATATGGGGTAAAATCATCAACACATAATCATAATCTTACATTTCTTGGTTCAATTGCAAAATCAGGAAATGTCTTGTCAAAATATTTTCATGTTTCTCCATCTGATAGATGACACAAATGTCTCTCCTTTCTCTTATTTTCAGAATGTCACCTCATATGTGGAGCATAACTCATTGAAGCATATAATCTCTTAAGCTTATGAATGAGGGGTAAATAATGAATTCTCTTCATAGGGACATTTTTATATTTACCTCTACCCACTTTTTTGTCTTATAACGAGGTTTTTGACAAAACTTACATGTAGATAGTTGTTTATCTTCATTTGAGTAGAACAACATACACCCATCAATACAAAAATCAATTTTTTCTACTGATAAACCAAGTTTTGAAACCAATTTTAAGGTTTTATAGTAATCTTCTGGGATAAAATTATCTACAGGATGTGTCTCTTTCAAAAGAGTCAATGTTTGATTAAAACATCGTTGGGACATGTTTCCCTCGGATTTAATTGTCAACAATCTAACAACAACAGATAATTCAGTATGATTAGTACATCCTGACCACAATGATTTTTGTGAAGCATGTAATAAATCATAAAACTTATTTGTTTCAGTATTTGGAAACTGTTCATTTTCTTCATCAAAATGACTCACAAACTCTGCACCTAAAGCATCATGAATCATGCTGTCAAAGTCTTCTTTATCAACCTCGTGTGCATTATTAGATGAATTTGAATACATATTATTCACATCACGCATATTTGGATCCATTCTCCATGACATGTCTAATACCAATATGCAGGTGTAAATCCCCGATGATAAAGATGGACTTGAACATCTTCATAATCTAAAAAGTTCTTATTTTTTTCATTTACTACATGGACATCTAATTTTTCCATTTGACATGTTTGCATGTTGAAGAGCAAATGACACAAATTCAATCACACCATTTAAAAATGCATCAGTATACTCTTTTCAACCAGGTACAAGTCTATTATACATCCAACTACGATTTTCATGAACATCCATGTTTTGTCATATGTCAACAAATTACTTATTTTAATAAAAAATATACCAGATAATTATCCACAACATAATTACATTTTAATAAAACCTCTAATACAAAATTTATAGGTCTTGCTAGAAATTATACCTCTGCCACTAAAACTGCCCGCAATACGAAGATATTGACAGTTGGAAACCTAAGATGGTGGAAGTAGACGTGTCTGAAGAACTTAACAACACATTACGAACGGACAACTGTACAAATAAAAAAGGGATAATAATTAGAAAGTGTATAAATAATGAGTCCCATAAATAATCATAATAAAATACGAAGATCATTAAAATCTGTATGGAACATAAATTTCAAGCTTTGCAATTAAATATGTGACTAATAACTTAATTACTTACTTATTGTTGATGCATGTACATACTTATTTTTTCTTACATTTCGTACTTTTTTATAAACTTATGTGATGATGATGTATTTTTAACTAGGAAGTATTCTTTTCTAAACCATTAATTTGATTGGGTATGCAAAGTAATTATTTGTCTGATAAATTTGTATTCGTTTCATGAGTATGTAATATATAGAATTATAAATTTAAGTTAATTTTATCTTATGTGAGATCAATCAATAATTTTATTTCATTTTAAATAAATATAAAAATAATTTTAAATATATATACTTTTAAATGTAACTCACATTAATAAAACTAATTATTACTGATATCTAAAAAAATAGATACATATATAAACAAAATAATATTACCTAATTTATGTTGATTTCACTTATATTTTGAATTAATCTTTATTGCTAAAATCCATAATTTAATTTTTAAGTAAGTCGATATTTATGTTGAAGACATAATTAATTTTTATTTTATTATTTATATTTAGATTGGTCTTATTATTAATAAAAAGATTTAATTAAAATTTTTTAGAATGGTTAATAATAAAATTATTTACTTTTTATTTTAATTAATAATATAATTATTAATAAATAAATATTAATAATTTTAATCTACACATAATACATTATATAATTAACAATGCATAATTAATAGTGATGAAATTTCATATTTTAAATTTTATAAATAACAAGCACTCTAATAAGAGATTATAGACACTAATTGGTTATCTCAATTCTAACAAGTTACATCATGGTCCATTTCCTGATTTTTCAGTTCTTTCAAAAATTAGATTGTCTTTCCAATCTTCACAAAAAGTTTCCATTAATACACTAGCTATAACCATTGGGTTTATACCCCATTTGACCCCAAATTTCCTCTGTTCCACCAAACCATGGTAACAAAATCATTCAACAAAATCAAACTTACGATGAGGGGAGTGAGCTAGGGCTTGGTTCACGGTGGCGCGGTGATGATGGTGGAACTGTGGTGAAGGTTGCGGTCGCGACATCGTGGTGCTGCGAGCTCAACCGTATGGTTTAGGTGGCTTCGGTGAGGGCGATTGGAGGTGGTTCACGGAGAGCACGGTGGTTGGCACAGAGGTCTACAGGGACCGCAAGGGCTTGAGGAAGTGAGGTTTGGCCGGAAACAGGGTGAGACGGAGGAGCGGGGGCTAGATTTACGATAGTAGAGGTTGGGTCTCTGTGGCTAGCGCGGCTAGGTGGCTAAAGGTTGCGGCGGGGAGCGGCAGATGGTTTTGTGGTGGCTACCTAGGTCGTGGCTATGACTTGGTGAGGCAGGGATGGGGAAATGGGAAAAAGAGATGGAGGTCGAGGGTGAGCGTGAGGCACAGAGGGGCTAGGGTACAGGAATGAATGTGAAGCGTGTGTGAGTGGAGGGGGCGCCGAGGGGTTGAGAGTGTGGGGGGATAGCTGGAGGAGAAGGTGCCGCCTGGGTGAAGGTCCTCTAGGTGCCCGTGTGTGAAATGAGGATGAAACTGAGGGAGCAGCCTGTGCAGAGGTGGATAGTGCCTTAATTTGTGAGTGAAGGTGCAGGGGAGAGAGTGAGGGTCAGAGTGTGAGAGTCTCGGAGCGTGTATCTGGAGATCTTTTGTAATATTTTGTAATATATAAATTAAAAAATTATCATTAAAATTTTTAAAAATTATTAATTTTTTAATTTATATATAATAAAAATAAATTATAAATATTATATAATATAATATATTAGTATAATATAAAATAATATATTTATATTCTAATTTTTAATTAAACTAAAATTACATTAATAATATATAATAATATATAAATGATTATAAATTTAATCTAATTATTTATATATAATAAATTTTAACATTTATTTTAATAATTTTTACTATAATAAATTAAATAAAATGGTTTGATAAAAGAGATTACATTAACAATTTATTTAATAATTGATTATATATATATAAAAGAGATTAAATTAATAATTAGTTTAATATTTAATTTAGTGATGAAATCATGATTGAAGATTATATATATAAAAAATATTAAATTAATAATTAATTTAATGATTGATTCAATTATGAAATCAATGATCGAATCAGTGACCAATTCAAGTAACTAATTTAATAATCAATTTTAATTTTTTTATTCACATACTAAATTAAAAAATAAAAACAAATAATTATATTATTAAATTATTTAATAAGTTAGTAAAATATTTTTTTTACATTTTTATAATGTTATTAAAAATTTTATTAATTATTTTAAATTATTAAGTAGATTTATATTTAATATATTATTAAAATATTTTTTAAAAATATTTATATAAATGAAAAATAGTCATCAATTTATAGATTATTTATTTAGTGACTCGAAATTTTAGTTACTAAATCGAGTCACTAAATATAAAAAGAGAAATAAGTCACTGATTCGAGTTACTATTAGTAACTAAATTTTTTTATCACTATTAACTATTTTTCTAGTAGTGACCGAATCAGTTACCGATTCGGTGACAGAAATTTTAGTCACTAAATATAAAAAGGGAAATTAGTCATTGATTCAGTTACTATCAATAACTGAATTTTTTTATCACTATTAATCATTTTTCTAGTAGTGACACGGACTTTGCTTTTGTCATGCACCAATGATAAGACAACACATTGTGCATGAGTTAGTCAAGAATTCAGTCTGACCACATGCTCATCGAGGAGCTGACGTGGCATACGCGTGGTATAAAACTCACATGGACTTTACTTTTCTCATGCACCGATGACAAGAGAACACACTGTGCATGAGGCAATCAAGAATCCAGTCTGACCACACGCTGATCGAGGAACTGACGTGGCATACACATGGTGCAGAACTCACATGGACTTGGCTTTTTCTCATGCACCGATGATAACACAACACACTATGTACCGAGGAGCTTACGTGGCATTCGCATGACAACGAGCTCGTTACTTATAAATTGCATGGAGCATTAAGCATCTCTCACTTTACTTTTTTTTTCCAACATAGGATTGATTTTTTTTTTTAATTTAACAACATATTTGAGACTCAAATTTATTACCACTGAATTCGTTACCATGAAAAATATAAACCAACTCCAAAGATCATGGTAAATAATGTTATCAAGTTGGTAAAAAAAGTTTATGAAACAGTCTACTTTGGAATAATTTTTCTTCAATTTAACAACATATTTGTCACTCAATTTTTTTACCGTTGAATTCGTTGTTGTGAAAATTATAAACTATCAATAAAGATCATGTTAAATAATATTATCAAGATGGTAAAAAATGTTCATGAAACGGCCAAAGTGATAAGCTATGTAACATGTAATTTTTTTTTCCAACTTTTGATTGATTTTTCTTTAATTTAACAACATATTTGACACTCGAATTTTTACCGTGAAAACTATAAATTAACATCAAAGATCATGCTTGTAGACCCCAAATCTTGCCCCGCCTCCAAATAAAGACCAGAAGACCTCCTATTTGAAGATGGACGAAGCCTAACAAGTCATTAGGAGAGACTATTAGGCCCCATACTAGGATAGGAGGGAGTTTCTGTCCGAAAAAAAAAGTTTTCTCGCTTTGTTGGGACGAGAACGCCGTCTAGATTTCCCAGACCGCCGTCTCACCACCTGCGAAGGGCGAGACGGCGGTCTTGTTTCCCCAGAAGGCGGTCTCGCCGCGTTTGACAGGGCGAGACGGCGGTCTCGTTGGACGAGACGGCGGTCTCGACCCTGTCAGACGAGAACGGCGGTCTCGCCACCTGACAACGCGAAAACCTATAAATAGGGGCTCTCCCCCCCTCATTTCCACACACCACAAGCTTCTAGCTCTCCCTTCTCTCTAAAACTTCTCTTTAGAATCCCTCCAACACATTTCCGGAGTTTCTGAGTGTCTTTGAGAGCTTTTTTCGGCGTCCAGAAGAGTTTCCGGCGTCTTGTAAAGTGAAGGGCTGCCAAAAAGTACCCATTTATTTTAAAGAAATATAAAACAAAGCTTGCTTCGGAGGTTTAATTTCTCCCCCTTTACTTTTACTGCTTTGATTTAAATTCTGCAATAGATTAGGGCCATGTAGTCATCACTTTAAATTTCGCACAATAAAAAAGGGCAAAAGCATATTTTCCGGTTTATTTATTAACAATAAAAGCTGGTCTGTCATAGGGAACCCGAAAGGGGCGTAGTAAAGGAACTAATACTTCCTTTACCACGTAACTAACCCCCTTACCCAACTCTGGTTCTAATGACCAAAGTTGGTTTTCGAAAACCAACGCCTTTCAAAAACCTTTTCCGATGTTTCCGGTAAAAACATCGGTGGCGACTCCATAGAACCCAAAATAAATAAGTCCTTGGGTTAGCCCGGTTATCGGACAACCCAAGGACACCTTTCGAAAACCTCGCCCCTAGGTTAGCCAGGTTATCGGACAACCTAAAGGCGTTGTAACCACCCATAAAAAACGCGAAAATCAAAAAGGGTCGAAAAAACCATTGCGTCGCTCCGACCGACCTTCTCTCTTTTGAGACGGCGGCGACAGATGGCGACTCCACTGGGGAAGCCTCGAGAGTTGATCCCATTTAGTGATGGGCCAGCTAAAATAATAAATAAACCAAGAAAATAACGCCTTTGCCCTTAACTTGTATTTATAACATGTTTTAATGTTTGGCTTTAATAAATTGTTGTTTGTTTATACTTGTGCAAATTGCTTGAAATATAAACTGCACACAATCCCTTGCACACAACAGTTCCCCCTATACCCGGGGGCAAGTGAGATAACCATAGGGAGTGGGTGGCAGGTACGGTTCGCTGTAGTGAGGGCCTTGAGCCCACCAGTGTGATCGGAAACCACCACTCAAGGTGATAACCTTCCTCTTTTGGCAACAAGACTGACTATGGCCTTAGTGCTAAGCATGGTCGGACGGCTGGAGAGTGGGGACCCTATAATGGGGGCACCTTGGGGGCCTTAGCCTGGTGAGAACAGTTAGAACCAACCCTGGCCAATGCACTTTTCTACAGGAAAACCCTACCTCGTGATAAAAACGAAATCTCGCCGGTTCGGGGATGATCGAATTGTGTGTGCATTTGTATGTTGCATAGCATAAACAAACAACAAAACAAATACCAAAAATATTTTTCGCAAATAAACACCCTTATCTCGGACAGTCTGCCTTTTAGCTAGCCTGGTTTCAGGTTCTTTGCAAGCTAAGTAGCCACGCAGTTCCGACAGAAGAAATAAGGGATGCTAAAATATTCTTTCACATAAAGCCATATTTTATCTCGGACAGTCTGCCTTTTAGCTAGTCTGGTTTCAGGTTCTTTGTAAGCTAAGTAGCCACGCAGTTCCGACAAAAGAGATAAAAGACTATAAAATAAGCAAATAAACATCAAATAAAAATCAAAATACAAAAACACAAAAAAAAATATATAAAAATATATAAATGAAACAACTTCTGACAAAGTCAACTCATTCATATTACACCATACCATGAGTAAAGAAAAACCAAGAGAGAAAATAAAAAAATGAGAGTGCATTCAGCATCATTTAAACAAAATCTCTCATGCATAAACACATCCATGTTAGTTTAAGCACTCAACATGCATTAATAAACCTTTTTCGGGCATTCTAGAAAGTGGCTGGTCCTCTCCCTACTCGCACTCGTGCACAAAAAGCGAAAGTGATGGAAAACCTAGAGGAGCAGAACAGAAAGCTCACCGCGGAGGTCAATACCCTCCGCGAGCAAGTGGCCCAGTTAATGGAGGTCGTACGCCGGGGGCAAAGCAAGGGCGAAGACCAAGCTGAACATGTCCCTCCTCATGAGGCAGAGGAGGAAGAATACTTTTTTGACGGGAAGGATGCTAAGACTGCACGCATCCTTACCCTAGAAGTGTCCAAACAACAACTCTCCGCCCTAGAGGAGAGGCTGAAGGCAGTCGAAGGGCACAACTTCGACGTCAAGGAGGTGGCGGACATGTGCCTAGTGAAGAATATCCACTTCCCTCCCAAGTTCAAAATCCCAGACTTCCCCAAGTACGCCGGGATGACCTGCCCTAAGAACCATCTTACGATGTATTGTCGTAAGATGGTCGCCCACGCCGATAACGAGAAACTCCTCATCCACTGCTTCCAGGAGAGTTTGGCAGACACAACTCTCAATTGGTACATGCAGTTAGAGAGAGGGCAGGTCCAGAACTGGAAACAGTTGGCTGACGCTTTTCTCCGTTGTTACCGATACAACATCGATCTGACCCCCGACAGGTCAGATCTCAGGACTCTGAGCAAGAGGAACGACGAGCCCTTCAAAGCGTACGCCCAAAGGTGGAGGGAAATGGCAGCCCAGATAGAGCCTCCTTTGACGGACAAGGAGATAGTGGTTATGTTCATC